TCTCCCTTTCTCTCTGTCCCTCCCCTGCTCGCCCCCTCTCTCTCCAAGTAAATAAGCTTAAAAAAAAAAAAAAAAATGAAAGCCAAGATATGTAAAAGAGAAAATAAAAAAACTTTCCCCTCAAATGTGTTATAAAATGTCCCAAAATGGTAAAGAAAAAGATAAAAGCAGTGGTCCAGTAAGAAACTGGTCGTCTGATGCTGGAGAGGCTGGAATGTGTGGCTGGACCCCAGCGTCGAGGAGGGACTCCCCATTCCCAGGCCTGCCCACAAGGCATCTCTCTCAGCCGTGTTGTGCAGGAGCAAGAAAGAAATGGATCTGACTGCCCTGTCGGTCAGAAGGGGAAACTGAGGCCCGGGAAGGGATGTGGCAGCCCCCGCCTCCCGCTTCCTCCTCGAGCCAACCTCCTTTCTTCTGAGCTGTCCCCTGCAACTTGCTAGTTTTGTCCAGCATTGCCCACTTACTTACTTAGAGGACCCTTCAAAAGCCATTTGACCTCTCTGAGCCTGCTTCCTGTCTGGGAATCGAGGACACTAACAATCTCCCCCGTGGGATCATTGAGAGGAGGAATTGAGGGAGCGTACAAAGAGGCGCGTAGGTAACCGAATTGCTCCTGCCCGCCTCTCCTGGCTACCCTACCCCTCCACCTCCCTCAGGTTCCCCTCCCCGGGCCGGTCTGGGGACATTTCAAGCAGAGCCCCACGAAACACCACCAGACGCGGAGCCATGGCCCTGGGCCTCCCCTGGGCACCGCATTCCCGAATGGGGCTCTGAACCCGAGATGCGTCTGTGCCCCGGCACAGTGCCGTGGGAACACATGAGCTCCAGCACAGGGTGAGATCCCTTGGTAGCTGTGTGGCCTTGGGCAAGTCATTTTGTGTCCGAGTGCCTGTCTCCTCCTCCATAAGTAGAGATAATAATAAGAGTACTCACATCGCAAGGTTTTGGCGAGGCCGGAGCTCGGCACGGCGCTGAGGGGGTTTCGCTCAACCTGCTTTGATGTCTCTTCTGCCCCACTGCCCCCACCCTCAGTGGCCCCCGTGGGTGGGTCCGGCCCTGCCCGTCTCCGCACCCTGCCGACAGATCGTATGGCTCACCTGGGCACCAGGGGTTGAAGAGCAGGATGAAGTGGCCCAGCACGAAGCTGGAGCCCTGGTAGCCGGTGGAGGCCTCCAGGCTGAGGCGGTACAGGCCGATGGGGGCGTTAGGCGGGGTGCTGAGCTGCAGCGAGAGGGCACTGTCCTGCTGGCCCACCACCTTGGCCGTCCAGGCACCTTCCTCCACGGCATCGGACAGCGGGAAGCGGGCCCGGGTGCCGGCCTCCTCGCTGGGGGCTGGGCCTGACAGAGGAGAAGCAGTGGCCGTGAGCCGGACGTGGGCAGGGAGGGACGGCGGCAGACCCGGCGGGGGCCAGCACACGCCGGGGGTCCCACGGGCCTGGGTCGGAGGCCGAGGTGCGCTGCCGACCGTCGAGGGAACTTTGGCGAGAGGTTTCACCTCCCTGAGCCTGGGTTTCCTCGTCTGTAAAGCGAGGGTCAGACCCCGACCTCGCAGGGCACTTTTGCGAGAGCATGCGACAGGTCTCGCGCCCACAGCAGGTTCCCAACCGGACAGATGTCTCCCGGGGGAGGGGACCGCTCAACCTGGGGCAGGGCCTCCGTCGCACTGCCTGGGCTGGCGTGACTTTGCACGCCCTTTCTCTGGGCTCAGTTTGTCCCTCTGTAGCACCAATGGATGCTCCATTTCCTCCTAAATCCTTTACCTGAAAGGGTCCAGCTCTTCCTTTCAGAAGAAGAAGCCCAGACTTTGAGTAGGATAAGACCTTGGTCCTCTGATGCCCCACAGGAACCCGTCTGGGAGGCCCCTTGCTGGTAGGTGCTGGCCCATCCAGCCTCTAGGTGTCTGTCTCCCCAGGGCCCCCTCCGGCTTTTGGCCTCTGTATCTTCAAAGGCAGTTCCAAGGAGGTAGTTATAACCACCGCCCCCCACCGCCTGCTTTCCCTGAGACCTCTTGTACAGATGGGAAAACTGAGGCTCAGAGAGGAGGGGGTCTCCCGAGGATATCGTAGGGGTCTGGGGCAACGTCAGCATCTGAGCCCAGATCTCTAGGCTCTGGGCTGTCCTCCAGGGCGCCTCTCATTCCTGTGGTCTCTTGTGAGGGGTCTGGAAGCTTCAGCGAGATAGGGAGCCTGCTTTTCCTGGTGCGGGGAGGGCCCTGCCTGGGCAGGCAGGTTTGAGTCATGGGAGGGCGAGGAGGGGCTGGTCATCTTTTCTGGACTTGGGTGGCCGAGAGGAGAAACAGAACCTTCTCTGCCTGGTTGGGCGGCTGCCCGGGAATGTTTATTTTTACCCTTTCATCTCCCTCCCTGGAGCTCTGCCCACCTGCTGCTAACAATATGGGGGCTTGTTCACTGAGGGGCTCCCTCCCAGCACCCTGCCTCCTCCTACCCACCCGACAGCCCCGGCCACACCCGAGCCCAAATATAACCATGAGCTAACAGGCATGACACAGGCCTCCGAGGCCCTGACTGGGTGCCAGGAGTCAGCTATAAGCCTGAGAAGTCAGGCAGCACAGGGCCCCAAGAGCCAGCCTGGGTCTGGTCCCCCTTCTCAGGTTCTGAGTGCTCCGTGAGCTGGGGCTAAGTCACCAGGCCTCTCTGATCTGCAATTTTCTCATCCAGGAAGAAAACAGGCTTGGACCACATGCCTGAGGAGGGTCGATCCTGTGTCTGAAACTGGCTCTGTGACCTCGGACAAGCTACTTAGCTTCTTTGGGCCTCAGTGTCCTCATCTGTAAAATGGGGTCAATTACAGTATACCTAGCTCCTCGTAAGGTCATTGTAAAGCCTAAAGCAGTTGAGGTACATCGCATGGTGCCTGGCACACAGTAAGTGCTCAATAAATGATAGCTCTGGTTTATTATTGTCACTATCACTTCCTGGCCCGGTTTGGAGGACCGGCAAGGGACTTCTCAGGAAGCGTTCAAAACAGTGACCAGTGCGGTAATTGTGCAGTAAATGTGAGCATTCCTCAGTGTTATTAAAAGTCAGAATCCCCAGGCCAAACAACAGATTTTGAGGACTGGGGCAGAATGTAGAAATTGTCTTGTTCAACTGAATCACTTTACAGATATGGAAACTGAGGCTGAGAGGGACAAAGGCGGGGAGACCAGTTTGTCTGGGACAGCCCCAGTTTATACCTGCGGCCCCAGCATAATTCTTAATGGTGTCCTTTCATTCTCAGAAATGTCCCTGTTTGGACATCCAGTGATCTGGTCACCATGGGAATAGCCTGGGCCAGGTCCCATAGCCACTGTCTCTATTGACATACCACCCTCAAGGACAGGTCAGGAAACATTTCCCTTTCTCCCCGTCCTGGGGCAGCCGTGCACACACACACACACACACACACACACACACACACACTGCTTTTTTCCAAGGGTCCCCGAATGGGGGGGTCAGGGAGAGAACAGGTTGTTCCCCACACCCCACCCCACCCCCGCCACCACTGCTCACATAAGCTGGCTTCGAAAAGTCATCGGCTTTGGTTTCACATCTTTGTGGGGCCAGAGATGCTTCGGGGAATCCCTGTGGGCCTAAATGACCTGGAGACCTGAGGAGTCCTGGGGACTATCCCAGACCATGACTGGGTGGAGTAGGGGGGTGGACGAGGGCAACCTTCCAGAGGAAAGCCCTCTATTAACCTCATAAAGGTTCTTTTCACTCCCTCAGGCTGGCCTCACTCCCACCCCACTCACCCTCCAAAGCTTGGTCCCCTCTTGGAAGGAAACAGCTTTATTCCCATGATAAAGTGTTTGTCTATTGCGGTCTGTGTCCCGTAACAGAGCCTGTCAGGTCTCCAACTGTCTGGGTGAAATACACAGCATCCGGGTATGTGTAGGATCAGGCCACATACTCCATTCACTGAGTGACCTCTCTCAGAGCTGACCTCGCCAGCTCTCTCCTCTCTCTGGGCCTCAGTTTCCCTTAGGAGGCAGGACAGGCTGATCACAAGCTAGAATGTTCCAGCACAAGAGCAAGGTGCTCAGGCCAGGCCCGGGGCTGGGTGCTGATCCAAACCAGGCCTTGAGGTGAAAGGCCTGGCTTCCTGGTATTGTCTCTCAGGCTTCCTCAGCCCATGGGAGGGTCTTGGTGGCCCAGACAGGGAAGCTGTGTGCATCCAGAGATAGAGTGCCCTCCGTGTCTGCTCGAGGGCTGTAGAGGTGACCAGCACAGACCGGCTATGGTTTGAGATAAATTGGTAGAGACTGGAGAACAGAGATTAGCTGCTGGGATGAGAAGGTCAGCTGTACCCACCCCCTCCCCCAACCCTGAACTCGAGGCCTAATTACCTGGCACCAGGCCGCCTAGACAAATGGAGAAGAAGCAAGAAAGGAGATGCCTTGAAAGAAGAGAAAGAAGGTGGGAAGTCAGTGGTAGCCTCCTCTGGCAGTTTCTCTACTGTTCCATTTCACAGAAGAACAAACTGAGGCCCAGCAGGCCCTTATGGTGATTAGGTAGATATGTCTGCTGTCAGCTCACCAGTGAAAAGCCTCAATTCTGGGAGCAGGGTTTGAACCCTGCTTTGTCCTTAACTTACTGTGTGACCTGGGCAGGTAACTTGACCTTTCTGAGCCTCAGTATTTTCATCCATAAAATGGGGTCTCAGTATGTTTCCCAGATGGGCAGATCGAGAAGGAGCATGCATGCAGTAGGTTGCTGTGATTCTCATCATCCCAAGCCTGACCCTGACCTTGACTCTTCTCAGGGTATCTTACCCAGCACATAACTATCATATACTACAACCTTCTACTTTACAGAGAGGGAAACTGAGTTAGAAAGATCAGAGGCTCCTGGATGCTCCTAAGTTCAGTTAGAAAGGGCCCCAAGGGGACTGGTTTTGTGTGTGTGTTGTGGGGGGGGGGTGCTGCCCCTGGGTAGTAGGTGTATCTGTGCCAGAAGCAGAGAGGGAGGAAGGAAAGGCATAGGGAAGATATCCATGGCCGGTCTGCAAGCACCATGATAAGCCTTATCAAACGGCCACCCAGGTAAATATGGGCCGCAGCCTGTTTGCTGCTGTCTCTGCCCTCGGTGGTCTCAGAAAGAACTGGCCTTTCTCACCCTTGGGCAGAGTCCCAGCCAGGTGGCCCCTAGCTGACCTCAAGGGAGTGGTTCCCACCAGGAGCCAAATCCAGAGATTCGGCATTCGAGGCCACTTTCCCAGGAATGGCAAGCAAAGAAGATTGGGAACTGGGCATGTGGGGATGAGGTGGCTGGGGCCACCCGTCACTGGGCCCCCCAGAGCAACAGCAGCAGCGGCTACTAACGTCTACAAGGCACCCCGCCACGTCTGGCCCTTCTCACCTGACACCTTCTACCAGGAGTGCTTTTCACAAGATAAAACTCAAGCCCAGAGAGGCTACGCAACTTGTCCAAGGTCACACAGCGGGTAGGCAGTCCAGTCCGCACCAGAGCCCAGGTCTGCCACCCCCTGAGCCTGAGGCAGCCCTCCTGAGGCCTGGAGAAGGAACTATGGGAACACAAAATTGTCCCCTCAGGGAGATGGCAGCTGGGTTCTCTCCGCTACCCAGAGCCAACGTAAGCCCGATCCCAGAGGCCTTCAGGTTATGTGGATTGGGGGAAGTAGCTGTTGATAAGAGTTGGAAAGCTGTTTTGATTTGGGCAGGATCTTGATGACCTTTGTGGTAGGAAGCTGTTATCCAGGGCGATAACAGGTTTTCTGGAACCGGGTGTCCAACAAACTTGTTTACGAGGCTGGGTGGCCTGGGGCGTCCCCTTTCCACTTTCTGGGCCTCAGTTGCCTCATCTGTACAATGGGGCTAGTGGCCGCTAGGACCTTCTCGGGCGGGGGGTGGCAAAGAGGAACGGAGCCACCTGCCTCATCGTCAGGGGGCCAGGAGATCACAGAACAGAGCAGGTCGGGGCGACGGGGTGGTACTCACCGGTCGTGACACTGAAGGTGAGGCTGTCCACACTGGCTTCGTAGTTTCGGCCCTCGAAATGCAGAGTCAGCCGGAAGGCCTGGCCCCGCCGCACCACCAGCTTCTCCCGGCACAGGTCGGCTGTGTGGTGGCCACGGCCATTGGCCTCCAGCTCCAGGTCACATCTCTCCAGAACCAGTTCTGCGGAGACAGCAGGAGGGGCGTGAGCCTGAGCCGGGATGGCCTCCCTCAGCCAGTTGTGCCCTCGGGGCTCCGTGGATGTGGGGATCCCCAGGAGCCAGGCCTCTCTGGATAATGGCTATCCGCCCTGCCCCCTCCCCAGCCCCCACCCCGCCCTGTCACCCTGGGGTCAGCCGGGGCCGAATCTCCCCGACGACTCTTCTCTTCCTCATAGTCACGACGCCGTGCTCACTGTCATAGTCACAATGTCGTGCTCACTGTGGCGTGGTGGGAGAAGTCCTGGCCGCCTTCCAGCATCGTGACCTCAGGCAAGTCCACTTTCTGGACTCCCGTTCCTCACCTGTCACGGGACTGCTGTGAACCACTTTGTACAGTGCCTGGCACATAACAAATGCTCACTCAACAGGAGCTATTCGGTCAAGATTAAAGGGTTCTTTTGTTAAAAGTGAGGTGGGGCAGTATTGGGTGGAGGTTCGACTTTGCCTTTTAGGTTCGGCTTTCAATTTACAGGGCATACAGAGGACTGAGGGCCATGTTAAACACAGAACCAGGATGCGATCGACAAAATTCACCCTCTGGGAGACAAAAGGCAGAGGAGTTGGTTGTCTCAACAACTAAACCGCAAGGTGGGGCGTCTGGGTGACTCAGTCCATTAAGCGTCCGACTCTGCATTTCAGCTCAGGTCACCGTCTCCCGGTTCCTGAGACCGAGCCCTGCGTCTGGCTCCACACTGAGAGCACAGAGCCTGCCTGGGACTCTCTCTCTCCCTCTCCCTCTCTCTCTGTCCCTCCCTCACTTGCAGGCACGTTCTGTTTCTCTCTCTCAAAATCAATAAATAAACTTAAAAAAAAAGACTGCAAGGAAAAAAAAGAAAAAAATTCATTGGAGGGAGAAACTATAGATTAAGAGAAACAGAAGACACATTTCGACCCATCGTGTTATGTGGGCCTCATCTGGATCCTGGTCTTTTAAAAACTATTCTAAAACGTTTATTACACTCATGAGACAATCACAGATTTGAATGCCCGTGGAATCGTGGCGATATTAAGGACTTTTGGTTAATTTATTCATGTCTTAAAGAGAGAGAGCCCTTATGTTTTACTGAAATATTGGCAGGTGAAATGGTGATGTCTGAGATTTGCTTCCAAATAACAGGGGCAGGGGTGGGGAGGTGAGGGGTACCGGGCGGCAGGAGCGGCCACAGGAGGCTGGGTGATGAGAACACAGGCATGTATTATATTCTTCTCTTTACTTTGATGTGTCTTCAATATTCTCCATGATAAAAAAGGTTTGAAAATGACAGAGGGTTTGGAGACTTCTGGACCTACGCTTTTCAGTTCTGCAGTGCTGCTGTGTGATCCTGGACGGGTCTCTCTCCCTCTCTGTGCCTCCTCGGAAGTCTCAAAAGGCTGCTGAGAGGACTAGGAGAGGAAGCTGGGCCTAGCCCAGGGCAGAAGTTTGTTATGTGAAAGCTCTATTTGTAGTTTCAGAGGGAGCTAAAGGCCAAGGCAGGGGTACAGGTCACGGGTGGGGGTGGGGAGTCCGAGGGAAGCACACACCTCAGAAATCCTGGCAAGCTCAAAGTTAAGATTAAGAAGACCGCAGCGTGGGGAGAGTGGGCAAGGTGGACTCTCAGAGCCGTGGGGCCCTTGGAGAGTACGCGGTCCAGCTGAGACCCAGGGGCAGGGATCTGCCCAAAGTCACCCAGCAAGTGGGTCCTTCCACTGGGCCATCGACTCGGGTGCCCTGCTTCTGCCATGGAAGATCCCCAAGTGCCCGGTGACTGCTGAGAGAGGGCTTTGACACGGCTTTTCTCCCCCAAAACCTCACAACAAAGACTCCACCTATGCAGATACTATCACCACTGGGAGGAAATATTCCGAGGCAAGCTGCGGCATTGGGATTTGAACCCGGGCTGTGAATTCTGGAGCCTGCACTGGAAGCCCCTCGCTCCACAGCTCATGGTTTGCTCCCCATCTCCCCCACTCCTTCCTTCCCTTCCCTAACACTCCCGTGTTGTTCTGAGCCTGGGAAGAGACCCGAGGGAGCTGCCCCCTGGGGCTCACAGCAGGAGAGACCTCCCCCACCGCCAGGGAGGGCTTCTGGCTGGCCCGCTAGGGTGAGGAAACACTGTTTTTGAAAACTTCTACTCCAGAGAGCTTAAGCAGGAAGAGACCACCATCGTCCCCCTGGAAGACCATAGAGAGATTGTCAGTTCCTGGGCTGGGACAGGTGGGGTGCTTTCTTGGGCTATTATCTAAAGAGGAATTTCCAGAAGTCATGCCCAGCTCCCAAGGTGCAGAAGCACCGAGCTCCAGGATCACAGGATTTCTGCACTGAGTAAAGGACCCCAGGTCTCCCAGGCCAGCGGGACCCCTGTAGGAGACGGCCACTGTGGTAATGGGGCAGGTAGGTCATCCACAGCTGGCACCTCCAGGGTCCCCCAGCCCCACTGAGCCTCCCTCAGGGCCAGGGATGGGAAACTGCATCCCAGATGCCACCTAGAGGACCCATCACAGCCAGCCCTGAGCTGGTTTTTGATCTCACGTGTTGGGGAGCCAGATCCCAGCTAGGGACAAGGGGAGCCCGAGGTCACACGGTAGGTCAGCTTCCCTCCTCCCGTCCCTGCTCCACATGCCCCATGTCCCTCTTCAGAGCCCCTCTCCCAGCGCCTCCTTCCCGGGCTGCAGTGTGGTGTGGAGGCCCTCTCCACATGGACTCGAGCCGAGAGTTAGCCGGGTCACGGGGTCCAGCCGCTTTAGTCCACGGACACCCTGCATTGCAGAAACCCCTCCCCTGGGACGGGAGTGCTGCCACCGCTGCGACTGTGTGTGTGTGTGTGTGTGTGGAGTGGGGGAGCAGGTAGGAAATTAATCGGACCCCGACTCCACTCCCCTTGGCCCTCACGGATGTACCGAGGGCGACCCATCCATGTTTTATGGGAGGGGAAACTGAGAATCGACAAGTGGCCAAAGACTGGGGTTGCAGAACTTGGGGGCCGGAGGGGACCTTAGAGAACATGTGTGCTCTCAGCCCAGAGGGTGCTAGAACCTCTTCTCTGGCCCCAGGGCCAAGGAGTCAGCCAGGCATGACTTGCATGACTTGTACGACATGCAGGCCTCCTCCCCGCGCCTGGCAGGGACCAAACAAAGCTAAGTGTCCTGAGGCCAGGCCAGACCCCGCTGCACAGCTTCGTGCCGGCCGGCCCACGGCAGGGACCCAGCCCCGCTAACTGACCGAGGACAAGTGACAGTGGCCCGTTAGTCCAGTGCTCTGCAGTTGACAACACGCCTGCATGTTCCACTGCTTTTGTCTGATTCGGGGAGGCAGGGGTTAATGATTTTGCCCTGGGGATGGAAAGGCCCCAGCGGGGCCAGGCCTGAGGGGGAGCCAGGCCCTTCTCACCCAGCCCAGCCTTCCTGTTGCTCTCCAGACTGGGGAGAGCGCCTGCCAGGTGTTGACCCCCAGCCGACCATGGCACAGGGGGGACCCCTGAGACAGGGAGGGGTGGCCAGGCGCCGGCCCGTGAGTTGGCGGCAGCGCTGACCCTGATACTCACCCTCGGCCATGGTCAGGTGGTGGCGGTGGCTCCTCTGACGGGTGGCAGGCCCCTCCAAGTGCGACCACTGAAGGCGAGCACTGCCGAAGCTGAGAGGGACAGAGAACTTATAGCCCGCTTTGGGCGGGCAGGGGGCGGGGCCGCGCCAGAAGGCGGGGCCACGGCGGGGCCACCTTTGCCCATTCTGGGCCCTGCTCTCAGCCAGTTCGGGTGCACCGGGGGCAGGAGCCTGAGTGGAGAGGAGTGGCAGCTGAGCAAGGGCGCCCCCTGGGGGAGCGGACAGCCCTCAAGGCTGCGACGGCAATGGACAGAGACACAGAATTAGATCAGGACACACAGAGACCCCTGGACACATCATCAGACTCTGGGTGATAGAGGCACTTGGGCACAGAAGTACACACACACACACACACACACATCATCATCATCATCATCAGGTGTGGACACAAGCAGAGCGGGGCACCCACAGACACACAAAACTGCAGAAACTCTGAGATAGACCCCCACGCAGACGTGGGCTCGTGTGCAGACATGCACACATCCCACAAAGATAGGCACACCCGCACCACTTCCTGCGGCAAAACTGATAATCTGCCTCTCCCGTCCACCCCTCGGCCCATCTCATCATCCGTCGTCCATCCAGCAACCGGTCCCCTCCCCCACCCATCTCTCCCTCTCTTCCCCTCCGCTCCCTCCACTGAGTTTCCCTGCGGATCCACTGTGTGCCAGAAAGAAACAAAGCCAGACTTCCAGGGACTCAGCCTCTGACCCCTGGAACCCAGCACCTTGGCCGAACTCATCCTGGTCTCTCTGGTTCTCCAGGCTCCTATGCTTCCTACCCACCAGGAAGCCTGAGCAGGGAGGGTCCCCGGAGAGACTGGAGCCTGTGGGCCTCCCCCAATTTTTTTTTTCTGGAACAAGTTCCATACGTATTGATGGATCTGGGCTACCAAACTGGCCTCAGTTTCCACTCCTGTGTGACCTAGTGCAGGGAATACATCCACGTGGCTTTAGTGGCTGTTTGTCCCTGGGTCAAATGGGCCCTGTCGGGGGTCTTAGGGGAGCAAACTCGCGACACAGTGATGGGTCCTGCTGACCTGTAAAATATAACCCCGTGAGTGAACCTTGTAATTGCCCCCTTTTACAGATATGGTAACAAAAACTGTTTCCTGCAGCTGGCAAGAGCTCAGAGGAAGAAGCAGGGTGAGTGACAGCAACCGAGAAACCAGGTTTGGAGTTCCTGCTCCGACCCCGACCAGTTGTGTGACCACAGGCAGGTAGGTTGACTCTCCGGACCTCAGGCTCCCCTCTGCAAAATGGTGACAAGCATTCCTTTCTTGTAGGCCTGGAGTTAAGACTACCAAAAAGACTGAGGTTGAGCACCTAATAGGTAACGAGCACGTTAATAACTGGGGGTCCCTGAGTTTTGGAGCAAAATAGCCAAGTGTCCCAAAACACTTGGCCGTGAGGGACAGGGACCTCAAGGAGAAAGAGGAGGGCTGGGGACTGTCAGGCTTGGTAGCAGGGGTACTGCAGGCCGTATGTTTCTACAAATGTCAGCCCTGTCCCAGGCGAAAGGGTGCGTTTTGCTTCTGTCCATTCTTTTCCGCTTGGAAATAATACCTTCTCCTCTATTTGTTACTAATTTTCTTTTGTAACCCGTCTGGGAGCTCCCTCCAGGACAGGAACCCACTCGACTCTCTTTAGAATACCCAGCGGGTTGTTCCTGGTAGGGGACCTGGCCCAGAGCCCCGGGCCTGTACGCGACCCAGACAGCTGCCCTCTGTTCCTTCCTCTGCCCTTTCCATAGAACCGCGGCCACCTTAGTGACACAGTGACTTGAGCAATCAAAGGTCGGGACCGGCTTCCAAGAAGTGACAAGCAGTGGCCAGAGCCCAGGCTGGGCTTAAAGACTTGATTCCAGGCCTGGGGACCAGGGGACCCTCGCCCCACTCTTTCCCATCTGTTCAGAGGGGCTGGGAAATCCTGCCTTGTCTTACTTTATTGGACAAGTAAAGATTCAAAACTCCATTTTAGGGGCGCCTGGGTGGCGCAGTCGGTTAAGCGTCCGACTTCAGCCAGGTCACGATCTCGCGGTCCGGGAGTTCGAGCCCCGCGTCGGGCTCTGGGCTGATGGCTCGGAGCCTGGAGCCTGTTTCCCATTCTGTGTCTCCCTCTCTCTCTGCCCCTCCCCCGTTCATGCTCTGTCTCTCTCTGTCCCAAAAATAAATAAATGTTGAAAAAAAAAATTAAAAAACAAAACAAAACAAAAAAAAAACCTCCATTTTACTAAAGGGAAAGGCAGACCCAGCGAGGGTGGCAATGGGCTTAAGGTCCTCAGAGAGCATAGGCAGGGGTCCTTCACCTCCACGCGGGAGGAGTGCAGTGCAATGGTCAGAGGGGAGCATCTGGGCTCACTCTTGGCTGTGTGACCCTGGGCAAGTTACTAGACTTCTCTGAGCCTCAGTTTCCTCCTATATAAAACGGGTATACTAAGAATACCATTTTAATAGTTTTAATATGTGTGAGTAAAACAGGTTGCAGACAACGGAGAATATTGTCTATTGTCTAGAGGTGCTCAGAAGAAGTCTCCGCCTCCCAAATAAGTCTTGTACCCGGGGTCGCTGACTGATGAAGTCGAGTCACTCCCTAAACTCCACCGTTAGGGAGATCAGTCCTTCACCTCTCTAAGGTCCCAGGCCTCAAAAGTGAGGGTTTTTTAAGTTTTTTAAAGCTTATTTATTTATCTGAGAGACGTGAGATCATGACCTGAGCCGCGACCAAGAGTCAGATGCTGAACCGACTTGAGCCACCCAGGAACCCTGACAGAAGTGAATTCTTAGAACTTTTGAATAACCTCGTACCAGCCAGACGTGCCTTTTAAATCTCACAATACGATGCTCGTCATTTGGTAAATAAGGAAACTGGGGCTCAGAGCAGTGAAGTGACTTGCCCAAAGTCACACAGCTCCCACGAAGTGGGAGCTTGGAACCCGGGGTTGATTCAAAAGCCTGTGCTGACTCTTCCATGGTTCAGAGGTCAGTCCTATTCCACCTGCTCCCCACCCCCTCCCTCCCAGGGGTAGGGCCTCAGGGGCCTGGGTCAGGTTCAGTCCTATAGCTCTCTGTAAGTGAGGCTTCCGAGGGCAGTTGTCAATGCTTCTGAGCCATGGTGCCTGGTAGTTTCAATAAACGTTTGTGGTGTAAGAGAGGGAGGGATGAGTCAGAGAGAGTTGAAGGAAGAACGGAAAGAAGGAAGGAAAGGAAGAAAAGAATAAGGTTCAGAGAGGTCGGGGAAACTGCCTGAGGTCACACAGCACGACTGGGATCCCAGGGCCTGGCTGGGCTTTGCTGTTCTCCAAGGACAAGGAACTCCCAGGCCAGAGATGGCCTGAGTTGGGAGGAGCGGGAGAGGGCAGGGCAGGGGAGTAGTGGGTGGGACCATGATAGGGCATTTGAAGGCCTCAACTTCCCTACCAACTGGTGACTAATGTCAGATGAGCAGTGTCTGGCATGAGAGAGCCCAGAGAGGGCAGGGCCAGACTCCCTTGAGGTGGGATGAGGTAGGGGTGTTAAGACGGGGGGGGGGGGGGGGCGTTGCCCCTGGAAAATGTCAAGGCATAGGCGTGACCTTTCAACGGGTGTCCTGTCTGGGACTGGGATCTGGGTGGCTGGCGGGGGTGGGGACCAGAGAGCAGAGCGCCTGACTGGGAAGGGCCCTCCCAATATGTCCATTTTACAGATGGAAAAACTGACCTGGCCATCTTGTCTGCAGTTCTGTCCTCACAATGCCCCTTCAGCTCTGTGACTGTGGGCACTTTAATTCACCTTGGTGGGGCTTCGGTTTCCGTTTCTGTGAAAGCAGCAATCACACCGCAGACCTCACGGGGCTGCTCTGACCGTGTGGGGAGCTGCGGGGCCAAGGGGAGCCTTCAGAGGTCTGTGTGAGCCCCCTCCCTGCTGAAACACCTCAGGGCCAAGTCGAGCTCTTCACCTGGCCTTCGAGGCCTTGCAGGTCTGGCCCAACATACCCTCCAATTGCACCGCCCACATCTGCACCCTCCGGCCTCACCAGGCACACCGCTTGGCCCCAGACACACCCCAGGGTTATCTACCTCTGGGCCTTTGCTCCAGCTGCGCCCTCTGCCTGGGATGCCCTCCCCTCTTACCTGTCACTTGCACCCGGGCTCTGCCCCCCTCCCAAAGGCCACCTGCTCCTGGAACCCATCCAGAGCAGGACTTCCTTTCCCTCATATGCAGCGCCCGAAGGGCACGGTCGCAGCCCGCCTTGAATCAGGACCAGTGTGTGCATCTATCTCTCTCCGCTCACCTGCTCAATAGATGTTTGTTGCGTGAATAAGTGACCTGTGGTAGCGAGAGCAAGAGAGAGAGAGAGAAAGAGAGAGTGAAAGAGAATTGTTCAAGCCTGGGATAAACCCAGAGCCTTGACTGGCAGGATTTATGGTGCCAGCCAGGTGCCGGAGAAGGTGAACAACGTTCCCTGGGCCACACAGCAAGTAACAGCAGAGTTGCCCTTGAGCCTTCAAACACTATACAAAAGCAAATATTGGCCCGGTACCTCTACTCCCAATTTTAACAATGTAGGAAGCTGCTTTTATTCAACTTGCAATTGGGTACTGCATCGTACCAGGGAGCAGGGTGGGACACGAGGCATGCCTGACGGAACCAGTGGTGAGCTGGTGTGGCAGCGGCTGACTCGGGTCCCGCAGTCCCAGGCTCCAACCCCGGCCCCCTCCTACCGGATGTGTGGCCTCAAGCTTTAGTCTCCTGTGAAAAGAGACTCTAAACCCCCAGCCCACTGGGCTCAGAGGAGGAGATCCAAAGAGGAGGCGAAAGCCTCTCCCAAGGAGAAAGTAACTTCTATTATTGTTGTCCCCGCTAGGCGGTTACAGTCGGATGGAGAGTTGCAGGACTTTTCGAGAGTGGAGTCTTGACCGTTTCAGGCAGCGAGATTTGCCCTACTCATGGGAAAACCCACTTCGACCCTACTTACAACCCATTATTGCTTTCTTGGCATCCAGCCCTAAAAAAGAGGTAACCTACCAGCCTGATGTAATAGCCCCCGAAGATCGGAAGCTGAGAAATTAGGATCAGAGAGAAAAA